TTTTTAATGTTTTATTTATTTTTGAGATAGAGATAGAGACAGCATGAGCAGGGTAGGGTCAGAGAGAGAGGGAGACACAGAACCTGAAGCAGGCCCCAGGCTCTGAGCTAGCTGTCAGCACAGAGCCTGACGTGGGGCTCGAACCCACGAACCATGAGATCATGACCTGAGCCAAAGTTGGATGCTTAACCGACTGAGCCACCCAGGGACCCCAGAAGAATTTTTTAAAAGTTTATTTTGAGAGAGAGCAAGCGTGCACGCACTTGTGTGCGCAAGGACAGGAGATGGGCAGAGAGGGGGGAGAAAGAGAAAATCCTAAGCGGGCTCCACACTGTCAGCACGGAGCCTGATGTGTAGGGCTTGAACTCATGAACTGTGAGATCATGACCTGAGCTGAAACCAAGAGATGGAGGCTTAACTGAGCCATCCAGGTACCCCTAGAAGAAAGAATTTTGACCTCTTGCTAAAAGGTTCCAAGACCCCTTTTTTTCTATGATATCTGCCTTGAGGCTCAGGAAATACCTCTACATTGCTTATTGGGTGACAGCATTTGCTTTCCAGGCTTCTGGCCGAGGAGTTATAATTTCTCACAGGGATTTAAATCTTAAGTTTCCAACCTGAAATCTGGATTCTTGAGCTTGGGAAAGTATTATTTAAAACACTAGATACTCATTTTTAAAGTCAAGAATTGTTAAAAATTTAATTCTTGATTATATACAGTATCATTTATCTTTACCCTCGGATTTTACTTCTGTACTGTGCAATTACAGGGGCAGCTTTCCCAAATTGTGTAGATAGCTATTGTACAGATATCTCAAGTTCAGAGTCTCTTAGAAGTTTAAAATAATTATCTTGGCATCCACATAGCTTTACAAAAAGCTCACAACAAGGAGAGTATTTTCATGGATCTGTAGTAATATCAGGGAGTTACTGATTAGAGCCCTTTGTTTTCCTTCTCTCTCCAGTCCAGCTGGCATTCAGTCCTTTAAAGAATGTGGCTGTGCAGTACTTTTGATTACTAATGACTTCTATTATCTTCTTCCCCATTGTGTACAGATGGGAGAATCCTCAGCACAAGTGTCTACTACTATTGGATGGACAGCGGCAGATGTTCACAGCGCGTCATGATTAATTAGTTTAAATTGAAAGGTCTATCTGTGAGGTAGCTCAGATTTAAGGGCAGTAGGCACGAACTGAAGTCACGTTTGCGCAGCGACTGAGGCATTAACCATGTTTTCATTTATACAGCTCTTCGTACATGCAGCTTTTTATTGTAATAGTTGGAAGTGCTAGTTATGTTGTAGTCTCAAAGTGGGGGGGTAGGGGAAATTGGCTGATCTTAAAGTTTGAGAGCATAGTTTTTTTTCCTGCAGTGTATATTTACACTGAGCTATGGAATGGGGCAGGTTCTCTTAGCCTAAATTTTGACCCTATTTCATATTTTACAAATTTACATACTATGTATGTTTTCTTAAAGTACCCCTACCCCGAAAAAATGACAGACCTGGGTATAATCTCTTAATGGGCCTGAATTGTGAACAAAAAAATTGGTTTGCTTTGGGACTGTCTGACTAGCACACTATATCCTGTACTGATGAGACTGTTAACTTGAACAGGAGGTAGAATGCTGTCTTCAAATGGAAAAGAACTATATTGCGCTGCTTTATCTTGTCAGAAGACTAGGCAGGTGGTTTTGATTTGGCCTCCACAAATATTTTAACTATTTCTTGTTAGCTTCCTTTATTGCCTCTGAGGTTGGTTATGTGGTGATCTTAATGCTGACTTCTGGACCTCAAATCCTGTTACTCCACATCTGTGTTCAGTGCACTGTAAAAATTATAATGGTCAGTCAGAGGAACCAAATACTATCATACTTTTAAGAAAAAGTATGTCTTAGCTCTGGATAAATTAGGAGCAACAGTCGGCTCTCCTTAGTGCTCAGAATTTGTCCGACTGCTGTTAATTATTAGCCACGTCTAAATTGGATTGTCCTTGTTAAAAAAAATAAAGTTTTCATTGTGTTTTGACGTCAACCTACTGAACAATTTCTTGTATTTATTCTGCTGACCTTAGTTTTCTGACAAGATTAATCCTCCCCCTTCCCCTTTTTCCCTTCCTGTACCCTTCCTCATAATGTAAAATGTGACTTCAGACAGGTTTAGTTCCTTCATGGGCTGTGATAATAAAATGTCTCATTATCTATCTCATTCATTTCACTTTTATAATTACTGTGATTTTACAACAGAGCAAACAGCTGGCTTGACTTATAGCCGTATCCAGGGAATATTACAAACTTGACCCAGACAGACTTAAAACTGACTTTTCTTCCAACAATTAAAGAGGAGAATTCTTAACAGTGATTATTCATGAATCAGAGGAAAAAAACATCAGTATTGAAATTCCATCACAAATTAAAAAAAACTATTATCACAGCCTTGTCCTGAAACCCTGGATTATTATTGTTAAGAGAGCTATTTCCACAAAGTGTTTGTTAGTTTGTTGGACGTTTGAGACCCCAGGAAATCCCCTTTCTCGTAACGTTCTCCGCTTGGATCTGATCTCAACAGGGTGTCGTAGTCATTCTTCAGCACAGTTCTTAATTGGAGACCAAGAACCCTGGGCCTTTAGAGGTGGTCTAGCAGGAGAGTTCCAGGTATCAATATGAATTCACAACTGAATTGACATTTTCTTTGTTTTATGAGAAACCTTATGTTGCGCATCAGATGGCTGGAAGGATTGGTCTGCCGAAGGCTTTCTAGTCCCAAATTCAATTTAGTTACATAGCTGGATTTTAAATCAAATTTTCCTCCTCTTTCACAGTAATTTCTGAAGGAGATGCTGCCAATTCCCCCCGCGCCTGCGAAGCGCAGCGGCTCTAGGTATACACTTCACATTGTTTCTTTGCAGGTCGCACACCATTTTAATCTGCGCCCGCAATGCACAATGCGCGCATGCTTGTCTGCCAGTGGAAACTCCATGAGCAAAAAGGATGAATAATTATGCAAGTGAATGGTGAAAGGGCTTTTGGATACTTTCCCAATTATTGTACAAATAAAACTTGTATTCGAAAGAACAATCTGTTAATGAACATTTGAACAAAATAAGAAACATTTTTGGTTTGGAGTTTGTTCATGGACTTTTCAGGTGCTCTACTTTTCTCCCCCCAACAGGTGCTCTGCTGCGCACAGCAAACTGAAGCGCATTGCTTTGGGGATAAAGCGTCTCCTGGACAGATAACCCTCTTCAGACCAAACCTCTCCTCCTGACATTCTGTTCTGCCATCTTTTAGTACAGAGATGGTCTAGATGAGATTGGTTTAAAAAAAAAAATTGTGATACTGGAATAGATTTTTTTTATTTTGTTTTTTTTGTTTTTACTATAAGTTTAAATCCCCATTAATATGCCACTAAAGCTATGTAACTCCATTTGGGTAATTTCTATTCAGAAGCCTCCCCTTCCCCCAGCAAAGAGGTGTTTATTTTAGTAAAGCATAGTACACCCCTCTTCTTTAGGTCTGCCTGCAGTAGCCAGTTAATGTTAAGTTGGTAATCTGCAGTGCACACCCATTTAAAGAAATGGATATCTTCCCAACACTAATCCATCTCCTTTTGTTTCTTCCCACAGCGTTTGCTGCCAATTGATGGGGCAAATGATCTCTTTTTTCAACCACCCCCATTGACTCCTACCTCCAAAGTTTATACTATCAGACCATATTTTCCTAAAGATGAGGTAATTGTCTACCTACCAACTTGGTATATGGTTATGGTGCTCACTTACAAGTTTCCATTGAACTCCCTGGTTAAAAGAATCTGTTCGGTACCTTCAAATAGGAGCTTTAGGTAGAGAAAGTTAACTGAAACATTGAACACACGAGGGTTGATATTTAAGGGAGAACCTAATAAGGAAGTTAGACTTAATAGCATTTTGAGCTAAGTCACTTAAGTCCTCATTTATGAAAATAAGCTGAAATGTATTTAGGGTATGTCCAAACGGTATGTAGTCTGTGGCTGATTTTCTCTATTGTTAATATTTTATAATTTTCATTTGTGAAGTATTTACTGGCTGTGACCATCAGCTCCAGGAAACAGCAAGCCTGTTGACATTGACATGTTTAAAAATTTTTGGACGTATACAAAACTGAGAGGGGCTCCACAGCATAGTTTGCAGCATTTTGAATCCACTACTTAACTGCCTAAAACCATCTCCTTTGAAATAATTCTCATGCTGCTTTCTACTGATTTTACAAGTCAGTGAATAAATATTTAACAAAGCAGAGGGGGTATTTATGACAGGCCAGGAATTTTGTTATTCCCTGTCCTAGAAGTCCAGTGTGACTCACTGAGTCCTATTGTTAAATTCTGTTGAGATTTTGCTTGATGTGTTGCTTAACTAGATTATATTTTCAGGCTTCCGTGTACAAGATTTGCAGAGAAATGTATGACGATGGAGTGGGTTTACCTTTTCAAAGTCAGCCTGACCTTATTGGAGACAAGTATGTGATGAAGTATTTGGATTTGTTGGATTTGGGAGTAATGTTTCATAGCCAGGTTTATCAGGTTAAGGGGAGGTGATGACTAGAAATAAAGTTTTCTAGAAATTCTACTTTAGTTTTAATAAAATCTGAATATTAATACATGTGTATTTTTGGTTTTTTCTTAAACCAAATGTAATTTCCATAGGTTGCCATTCAAATACGTTAAGGCTTTACGTCACTGAAGTCTAAAGTTTTGAGTTAAAAACTCATTCTGCCCTCTTTTCTTCTGAGCAGGTTAGTAGGAGGACTGCTTTCCCTTAGCCTGGATTACTGTTTTGTCCTAGAAGACGAAGATGGCATATGTGGCTATGCCTTGGGCACTGTAGATGTGACCCCCTTCATTAAAAAATGTAAAATTTCCTGGATCCCCTTCATGCAGGAGAAGTATACCAAGCCAAATGGTGACAAAGAACTCTCCGAGGCTGAGGTAATAGGTTTAGAATTGTACTACGATCGTTTTCCTTAAAGTACTTACTAAGATAAAGTAAGCAGACATGTCGTAAAATTTCAGTACTTTCAATAGGCGCCTGGGTGGCTCAGTCAGTTGAGTGTCTGGCTCTTGATTTCAGCTCAGGTCATGGTCCCAGAGTCATGGGATCTGGCCCCTTATCAGGCTACATGCTAAGTATGGAGCCTGTGTAAGATTCTCTCTATCCTTCTGTTCCTTTTCCGCTCTTGTGTGTGCGCTCTCAAAAAAATGTCATTGCTTTCCAAATTTTCTATAGACAAGAATTCTTACTGCTGCTTTTTTTCTTTTTAATTTTTAAATTTTATTTATTTTGAGAGAGAGAGAGAGAGAGAGTGCTCCAGTTGGGGTGAAACAGAAAGAGAGACAGAATCCCAAGCAGGCTCTGTGCTATCTACGCAGAGCCTGATGCGAGGCTCGAACTCATGAACTGTGAGATGATGACTGCGATAAAGAGTTGGATGCTTAACTGATTATGCCACTCAGGCACCCCTCTTACTACTTACTCTTTTTTTTTTTTTTTTTTTAATTTTTTAATGTTTTATTTATTTCTGAGAGAGTATGAGTAGGGGAAGGTTAGAGAGAGAGGGAGACACAGAATCTGAAACAGGCTCCAGGCTCTGAGCTGGCTGTCAGCACAGAGCCCTACATGGGGCTTGAACCCACGAACCGCAAGATCATGACCTGAGCCAAAGTCGGACGCTTAACTGACTGAGCCACCTAGGCGCCACCCCCCCCCTTTCTTTTTAATGTTTACTTATTTTTGAAGGAGAGAGCACAAGCAGGGGCAGGGCAGGGGGCCAGAGAGAGGGAGACACAGAATCCGAAGCAGGCTCCAGGCTCCGAGCTATTTGCGCAGAGCCTGACACGGGGCTTGAACTCACAAGCTGTGAGATGGTGACCTGAGCCAAAATTGGACAGTTAACTGACTGAGCTACCTATGCATCCCATTACTTATTCTTAAGTATGACATTTTCCATTGTTCCTCAGCATTAAGAGTTTTTTGTTTTTTAATTTGGAGGCATTGTTCTAATACTCCTCAAGTAAAAAACAATATAGACAAATAACCTTTTTTCCCCTCTGTTGTGGAAGTACCAAACTTAAATGGTCTCTTCTTTGGGTATTCAGGAAGTTAATTAAAATCTTTCATTTGCTTGGTTGTAGGGCACACACTTGCCTTCTCAGTGATGTATTTCTCATTGTAATAAAAAATAAAAAGAATAGAGGTGAGCTGCCTTGAGAGTCCTGTTTGGAGATAGGAGCACTTCTTGTCATATGTCTGCCCTGTCCCAACTTCAGTGAACTTTTCTTTTATAATTTATGATTTTGATTTATGCATCAGCATATGCATTTTATTTTAGCATACTCATTTTAAAAAAGCAGTTCCTTCTTGATAATGTTTATACTCATTAAATACTTTTAGATAAATATTTGGACTCTTTCATTTGTGAAATTTGTCTTTTTCTTCCATGTTGTTCCTCTTACCCTTTTTTGAAGTTCTCTCTCCCATACCAGTGGACTTCTGTTCTCACTAGATGGCTGTATAGTAAGAGGCTGTGTGGAGTGGCCTCACTTACTTGTAATTACGCAGATAGTAACTACAGCATGCTGGTGATTGAGCTGTTGATACATTACTGTTTCATATCTGATAATTACAGTTTTCAGCATAGGAACATAGAAAGAATGACCAGTGTGTCTACTATAACCCTTTTTACTTTCACATTTTTGTGCAAGCAATACAAACAACAATTTTTAAATTTTGAATATTTTTAGATTTAACAAACATAATACAGAATTCCTTTGTTACCTCTCACCCATTTTTTTTTTTTAATTTTTTTTTATAGTTTGTTTATTTTGAGACAGAGACAGAGCGTGAGTGGGGGAAGGGCTGAGAGAGAGGGAGACACAGAATCTGAAACAGGCTCCAGGCTCTGAGCTGTCAGCATAGAGCCTGATGCGGGGCTTGAACCCACGATCTGGGAGATCTGACCTGAGCCGAAGTTGGACGCTTAACCGACTGAGCCACCCAGGCACCCCTCTCACCCATTTCGTACATTTGTCCAAGTCTTAAGAAACCAGCTTTCGTGCATTACTATAAACCCCACACTTTTCACTTGTTCTTCCATTACTGTCCTTTTCTGTTCCAGGATCTAATTCAGGATACCACATTACATTCAGACAAATGGTTTTAAAAGTGAACATGCTTCAGCTAGAAATAGAAGCTAATTAATTCTTAATCTCATAAGTATATAACGACTGGAAGAGTTACTAAATGTTGCTTTCCTTTTCCTATTGCTGGGTTCTGTAGTTGGGACATAGATATATAGTGAGTTACTGAAAATCAAGAGAGTCTTTCAAATTTTTACAGAAAATAATGTTGAGTTTCCATGAAGAGCAGGAAGTGTTGCCAGAAACTTTCCTTGCCAACTTCCCTTCTCTCATAAAGATGGATATTCACAAAAAAGTAACTGACCCAAGTGTAGCCAAAAGCATGATGGCTTGCCTCCTGTCTTCACTGAAGGCTAATGGTGAGTACATACTTGTGTAGTTGCTGCTGGTGTTTGGGCTAGGTGGGGACAGGATAAAAAGAAAGAAGTGAATTACAGTCAACTTGCATTCCCTTCCCCACCATGTATGGTTTGGCTTCTGAATAATTAGTCATGTAAGAATTGCATGTGTATTAATCTTTGGAAAATGCTGCTCTTTTACACTATGAATGCTTATTTTGAGCCCTATTTAAATGAGAAGTGAACACATGAGGTTAAATTTATTTTGCCAGGAGACTCACTGTGATAATTGAAAAATAAACCTTCAAAAGAAGCTTCATTTAGGAATGCATAGTTGCTGGGCGCCTGAGTGGGTTCGTCAGTTAAGCGTCCAACTCTTGGTCTCAGCTCAGGCCTTAATCCTAGGGTTGTGAATTCAAGCGCAGTGCTGGGCTCCTCGCTGGGTGTAAAGCCTACTTTGAAAAAAATAAGAAAAAAAGGAATACAGAGTTGCCTTTTTTTTCCCCCCAAGTTTATTTATATATTTTGAGAGAGAGCATACAGGTGAGCGAGTGAGGGGCAGAGAGGAGGAGAGATTGGATCCCAAGCAGGGTCTGGCACTCTCAGCGTGGAGGCCGACGCGGAGCTCAGTGTCAAAAACTGTGAGCTTATGACCTGAGCTGAAGTAGAGTTGGACACTTAACCGACTAAGCCACACTGGCGCCCCACGTTGCCAAATTTTTTTGAGTGTTTTCTAAACCTTCAGAAATAACTTTGCTTTATATTCGTGGTATGAAAATTTTTTCTGTAAATGGCTAGATAATAAATATTCTATACTCTAATGGCCACATACAGTTTTTAATTATATATTCTCTTTTAACTTTTTTTTTAACATTTTATTTTTGAGAGAGAGAGCATGAGTGGGGGAGGGGCAAGGAGAGAGGGAGACACAATCTGAAGCAGGCTCTAGGCTCTGAACTGTCAGCACAGAGCCCAGTGCGGGGCTTGAACCCATGAACAGTAAGATCATGACCCGAGCTGAAGTCGGATACTTCCCCGACTGAGCCACCCAGGCACCCTTACATATTCTTTTTTAAATTAAATTCCATACATTAATCTTTTTTTGAAAAAGATTTTTAATGCTTATTTATCTCTTAGAGTCAGAGTGTAGAGTATGAGCCGGCGCGTGCAGAGAGGGAGGGAGGGAGACACAGAACCCGAAGCAGGCTCCAGGCTCTGACCAATCAGCACAGAGCCCAATGCACAGCTCAAGCCTACGAACTGTGAGATCGTGACCTGAGCTGAAGTCAGATGTTCAGCTGACTGAGCTACCCAGGCGTCCCCCCGACCATGCATTAATTTTTCAAATATACTTATTTATTTAGAGAGAGGGGGCAAGCATGGGTTGGGGCGGAGACAGAGGGAGATAGAATCCGTAGTAGGCTTCATATTGTCAGCACGAGCCTGATGCAGGGCTTGAACTCGGAAACCATGAGATCATGATCTGACCCAAAATCAAGAGCTAGATGCTCCTAATTTTTTTTTTTAAGTAACCTCTGTGCCTAATGTGGGACTTAAACTAATGACCCCAGGATGAAGAGTCACATGCTCTATATAGTGAGCCAGCCCGTTGCCCCTACATACTCTTTTTTACACAGCCTTTAAAGGATGTAAACTATTTTTAGCCCTTGGGCAATACAAAAATGGGCAGCTTGTTTGAGACCTCCTTAGAGGGCTGTTGATACATGGAAATGCACTTCCTGTCGCATCTTTTGTATCAGTTGAGTCAGTGGTATGTATCCCTCTTGTGGAATAATTTAAACAACTCTCTTTGAAGATAGTATAATTCTCAGTGTTGTGCTTGGAACTGAATCATGCAGTTATTATGAGGTATGTCTTAGAATATACAACATATTCTGGTTATATTGGCTTGTGATATAGACTGAAATGGCCTTTGCCCTGCGGGCTCTTTGAAGGTACTTTATATTAAGACATTAAACAGAGGTACTTTTTGCATTGGGGTTTCTTATTACATCCTCTTCCCCAAAAGATTTTCTAGGGGAGTTTCACAAACAGTTGAATTTTTTTAAATGGAGGTATTTTTGAGAATCAAGAACTGCATATATTTAAGGTGTACAGTTTGATAATTTGAAATATAATTCCCACATTCAAGCTAGCAAACAAAAAATTGTGGTATGGGGGCCCCTGGGTGGCTCAGTCGGCTAAGTGTCTGACTTCGGCTCAGGTCATGATCTCGCGGTCTGTGGGTTTGAGCCCCACATCGGGGTCTGTGCTGGTAGCTCAGAGCCTGTGGAGCTTGTTTCAGATTCTGTGTCTCCCTCTCTCTCTCTGTGTCCCTCCCCTGCTCATGCTTTGTCTCTGTCTCATAAATAAACCAAAAAAAAATTTTTGTTTTAAATTGTGGTATGAAATTTAGGGATTGGTATAGGCAAGCTCCTCCTGTCACCTATTTGAAATATATTAAAGAGTGATCACAATTCCTATCTATAATTCCAATTGACATTTACATTTGAATATTTGTTTTATTTCTAGGCTCCCGGGGGGCTTTCTGTGAAGTGAGACCAGATGATAAAAGAATTCTGGAATTTTACAGCAAGTTAGGCTGTTTTGAAATTGCAAAAATGGAAGGATTTCCAAAGGATGTGGTTATACTTGGTCGGAGCCTGTGAAATTTGTTGGCACTGTGAACTGTCCGAAAGTCTCTGAACTTCACCTGGAGGGTGGTGGTTGGGGTCTTCATACAGTTCAGCCTCTGGAATGGCAAAAAATCAGCCAATTGGGATTGGAAACGAAGACTATGTAAAACTCACCTATCACACTTTGAGATTACTCATTGGTTGGAAGATAGTATTGATGCAAATCCTTTCTGAAACAGATGTGGGCCTCCTTTTTGGGTCTTGTGTTAGGTGCCAAGACCTCTTATGTGGGCTTATAGGGAGGAGGTCTTCAATAAATGTAGTCAGCACTGTGTTCTGCATCCAGCGTGGTTGCATTTCTCACCTAAGAGTAATCAGAATCATTTTTCATCCTCCTTGGCTTACTGGATGAAATGTCTTTCATTCTTTGGAGACATGGCAGAGATGAGAAAGATTTAGTGGGTTTCAGAGGCTTCAGAGTAGAGATTCCAAGTGGGATGGTTGTGGCATAGTGTAAGCAGAATAAATGATTTTAATTTTGGGCAGTTTTCCTGCTCTTTGTAAAGCCATGGCCAGTTGTCTCTTGTAATGACCATTGGTTCAGGCATGTTGTGCTTTGTAGGGACAAATGTGCAGTTGTTTGTGGCAAAAGCCTAAAAATGGCAGACTTGTAAATTTTTTTGTATATAAACTAGCTGTAACCTGACTATCCTTTGTGTTCACTGTTTTTGTAATTCTTTTTCCTTTTGAAAAAGGGTGTGGTTCAGGATGGCGCACTTTGAATAATGTACATTAGTGGAAGGTGGATTTTCTTTACTTTTGTCTTTTTTTTTTTTTTTTCTTTAAAGTTTTATTGTTTTTAGAGTGCCGCCCACCTAGGGCTAGGCCATGACCACTTTGGGTATGAGAGCCTAATTTCATGGGACTCAAGTCTTGCAAAGTGCAGTCACTTCTGGAAATTAACCTCAATGCAGGTCAGCATGTGAAATGTTAGTTTTGACATCAAGTAGGGTTCAGGGACTTACTGGTCCCATTTGCCCAGAGATCAGTTGTCCTTTAATTTCAAGACCTGTTACAACTGGTTTTATTAAATCAGAGTCTTTAATTCATGCATGTTTGTATCTGATTTTTAAGAGAAACAATGAGCACACTTTAACCAGTAATTAAGGTTACCCTTTTTCCTTTTAACCACAGATTCTGAAAGCTCCATGTATTTTAATTTAGATTTGGTATTTTTAGGGGTTCTGAGCATGAGGTTAGCAGGTATTCTCTGGAGGATTCATTGTTTTCATCATGGCTGGCTGACTTCTCCATGGATTCCTAACAGTATTTTGTTATCTCACTTCCCTGTAGTTTCATTATCAGCTGTTTTACTTTGAGCTGAGGTGGGAGGGGCAAGGAAAAGGCATTTTCCTTCCATCTGTATGGGCTTTGAATCATAAAGCGTTGTACCTAGTGGTACCTAGTGACTTTCAACCAGGGCCTGTGAGTGTGCACTGAGTTGGTAAGATGAACGGAGAGGAGGCAGGAGGCCTCTTTATTTTCAGGGTAGAAACCTTTAACTGATAGAAGGGAAGATCTCTACAAGATACTGTTTAAAACAGTTTAATGTCACTTGGTTTTCTCTTAAGGTACATTGTGTACTATAGTGGGCAATTCTATCATTTGTTCGGAGGATTTCAGTGTCCATCTATGGAATCAGGATTTTTAGCAAGTTTGCTTGTGGTTTTATCTTGGCTTATAATAATCATTTTGGCTGGTCTGGTCACAGATGCTAACCATGAAACATATGTCCAGGCCTGTACCTTCATCACTCTAGGATGGTAAAGTGCTATGCTCTCTTCTATGGTTATGAATATTTATTAAGGTTGGAATGACATTTCATTGATTGTTCAGATCACAGCTCAGTTCCTGTAGAAAACGAACTGTAAAATTATCTGAAGACCATGCAAGAGGCAAAATAAAACTTGAAGTGAATATGTGTGGTGGTGTACTGTCTACTTCCTGTTTCTGCCCTGTACCTTTTCATGTGTTTATGTCTGACAAGCATCTTCCATAGCTATTGCGAGTTAGGGGCTGCACCTTCCCATTTCTATCTCCAGTAAAAGACTTACAGATTTTCCTCATGGCAAGGTAAAAAAGGAAAACTAGTTCTTGCCCAAGCCAGCCTCCTCCCACAGTTATATCCTGGGTGTGAGTTAGGGCCGCTAGTTTGAATGAATTCCCAACATCTAGTAGGATAAGGAACACAGTTTGCCTGATTTGATTCTTCTGTCAGAAGGTGAGAATTAGGGGTGGGGGAGTTGCCCAAATTATGGGACTTAGTACTCTTAAGGTGGAAGGATGTTCTGGGCCGATTGGTAATTAGAAGCTCCAAAGTGTGTTTGCCAGAAGTAGCCGCTAGCTGCACATCGAAGCTAACATCCTTTGCTATCAAGCGCCAGCCTCCAGCCAGCATATTTAGCTCAATAAAAATGGGCCTTCTGGGTAGTGAAGTTCAGGGCGTTAGAGCTGGAAGCATAGAAGCCGACTAGGAAAAGGGCCGAGTGGTTCCATGGTTCTAGTAGAAAATAGCCCTGGGTGAAAAGTCTTCCTTCAGGAGCCTCACCTTGCTTGGAGGAAAGGCGAGTAGCGATTTCCTTTGCTTTTATGAGAAAAAAGCTGCCTTAAAACTTGCCTTTACTAAGGGAATTGGAAAGGTTTCCTTTTTTTTTTTTTTATTATTAAATGTTTTATTTACTTCTGAGAGCGAGAGTGAGCAGGAGAGGGAGACAGAATCCAGAACAGGCTCCAGCTCCAGCTGTCAGCACAGAGCCTGACATGGGGCTCGAGCCCACGACCTGTGAGGTCATGACCTGATCCGAAGGCGGCCGGTTAACCGACGGAGCCACCCAGGAGTCCCGGAAAAATTTCCATTTTTGTATCTATTCTCCCTTTGACGAAAACTTGCCCTGGTTTGGGGCGTGGAAACAGCAGAGGGTGCGAGGAGCTGGAGAAAATGGAGGCAGGAGCCGCCCTCAAAGAGCCGTTGTCCTGGAAGTGCGGAACGACGTTAACATTAAGAAATCCATGCTTGTGTGATACTTCCCTGCAGTCCCGACACACAGGTCTGACCAGAGGCCGCGGGCTGCCAGGGGAGAAGGCCCTTGGACCGGTCGCGCCTCTGTCCCACTCTGTGCCAGCGGCTCCTTTAAAGGGCGGGGCCGGAACCTGCGGTGAGTCCCCCGCTTTAGACGTGTCGGGGGCGGAGTCTCCAGACGGCCCTAGCAGCATGGCCGCCGGCGCCGCCGCCGCGTTAACGTTCCTGAGTCAGGAGAGCCGATGCCGGGCCGGAGGGGTCGGGAGTCTGCGGGTCCCAGCTCCGGTCACTATGGACAGTTTTTTCTTCGGTATTGAGGAAAGGAGGGGACGAGGGTGGTGCTAGGGCGGTCAGGGGCAGGGCTGAACAGGAATGCAGATAAGTACACGACGTGGGCTGAGGCGGAGGGGGCCCCGTGCGCGGCAGCCCAAGCGGGAGCGGATGGCGCGACTGCTGCCCCCGATGTGCCCGGCGGGGCCCAGGGCAGAGCGCCCCAGGTGTTCTGAGAAGTGAGTGCGTAAATGGCCGGTAGCACCACGGCTACACGTGACAAGGTTTGGTGGAACACCCCCCGCGCACACTCAGGCACATTCACACTGTTACCTCTTCCAGGCTGTGAGCTCTCCGGCCACACCCGCTCTTTCACCTTCAAGGTAGAGGAAGAGGATGATTCGGAGCATGTGCTGGCTTTGACCATGGTGAGGGGTGGGGAAAGGTGGTGGTGGTGAATAGCTGGACCTGAGCAGGCAACTTGGGGCCCTCCAACCGTCACCCCAATTCCTTTACTGGGAATTCCCTCCTCTGCCTAACTCCCACATGGGTGGCTTTCCTGGGTGAGTGATCCGGGTACCACTGGGGTGGGGCAAACCGTAGGGTAGATGCCTCCACTTGTGGTGTCAGTCCTTGCTTGGGGAAACCCCAAGAACCTGTGTACTCTCCCCAGCTCTGCCTCACCGAGGGGGCCAAAGATGAGTGTAATGTGGTAGAAGTCGTGGCCAGGAATCATGACCACCAGGAGATTGCAGTCCCTGTGGCCAATCTCAAGTTGTCCTGCCAACCCATGGTGAGTTGCCTGGCCATATGCTGAGGTGGTGGCCGTGGTGGTAGTGATAGTGGTGGTGGTTAGGAATTGCAGACCCAAGGACTGACTCATCACAAGATGGGATGGCCAGGCCTTCATCTTTGTCTTTCTTCCAGCTCAGTTTGGATGACTTCCAGCTCCAGCCACCTGTAACCTTCCGCCTCAAGTCAGGTTCTGGCCCTGTGCGCATCACTGGGAGGCACCAGATTGGTGAGAGTCCTCTCCTTTGTCTCCAGTGGGTTCTGCCATCAGGTCTCTCCTCACCGCCCCCATCCCCACTCCTTCCCCGTCCTCCTTATCTCCTAGCGGAGCTCCCATCCAGACGATGTGTGATGTTGCCTCCACTTTCTGTCCTACTTAAGCCTCCCTCCTGCATGAAACCTGTCTCAGCTCTTCCACCTACACTAATGTGGTCTTCTTGGCTTTTTGTCATCTCTAATTTAGTATCCGAGGTTCTTCCCACCTAGACCATAAGCTCTGGAAGGTCAGGGTCCTTGGCACCACAGGGCATGAATAAATGACATGTGGTATGAAGGGGGTCTGGCTTTAACCTCCTCTTTTACTGCTCATGTATCCACTAGTTACTATAAGCAATGACGTTTCTGAGGAAGAGAGTGAAGAAGAAGGGAGTGAGGAGGAGGAGGCGGAGTTGTGTCCCATCCTGCCTGCCAAGAAGCAGAGGGGCAGGCCCTAGCCTTGGTGAGTGGGGGGAAGTGTGTCCAGCAAGGTCTGGGATGGGGCAGGAGTAGGTGAACATGGCCTTGATGCTGACCCCTTGTTTGCTCTCCTCAGGTCACCTAGCTGCCTGCCACATGTGCCATGTACTATGTTCCTGTACAAGTTTCAAGAAATTTAAATGTGTCTTCTCTGTTGAAGAGGAGGGATGGGTGGGTGGGTAGGGGGTGGTCTTGGGCTGGTGCTTGGAGAGAGGGTGGTCCTATTCTTCATAAGGGCCCTGGTGTTTCTCTAATCTTATGCCATATCTGGGGCTTCCCTTTTCTCCAGGAGTGGGAAGAGCTCTGAACTTCTCTCCTGACCCTGTCTCCCCACTTGCCTGTGAGATTGGATGTCAGCATCTGAAGCTCAGGAATACACATTTTTAATACTTTTTACATTTTTGGATAAAGGTTGAAATAAAGTGATGTGGAGTTTTTTTTTGCAACTCATTTGTGTGGCTTCTTTACCTGCTGGGGTGGCATTCCCCTAGGGACCACCAGGTGGCACTGTGGCAGCACCGAGGGTGGCCCTGGGCCTGGGGAAGGTGAGGAAGTGTGGGATCCTTCTATCCCTAGGACCCCAGTGGCCAGGCCAGGCCTGGGCCCCAACTGCCTTACTAAAAGAGGACCTCCCAACACCAAGCCCATTCTCAGTCCCTACAGGTGGGGGAGGGCCATCCCAGGAGGTTATCAGCATCCAAACAAGGGGCCTGGGCCTCTGTCAGCACTCAGGCTGATGGGCAGGGGGGCAGATAAGGGGGCTTAAGCAGTCCGAGGAATGTGCATCCCTAGCCCCATGAGGGGGCTCAGGCCCTGAGACAGCCTGTGAGGGGTGAGAGGCGAGTCTTTGCTCCTCCTTCCAGTCTTGCAGGCTGTCTCTGAGCTGGTCTGGGCCCTTAGAAACCTGATTCCGGGGGCCAGATGGAGGGGGCTGGCCAGATTGGGTGACAGGGAAACCAGAATCCGGGTGGCCTGGCATATGGGGGCAGAGAGAGGCCCCTGGGATTCAACCTCCTGGGCTGAGGGGTTCCTGACCCCCAGCACACCGCCTGGCCTGGGGAATCTCTGGTGCCTGTAATCAGGTGTTCTGAGGTTTGGTCGTTGCTATGCCAGGAAGAGAAAGGGAGATACTTGGTGTGAGCATTAGTGTGTATGTGACTGATTCTGGGGTCAGCAGTTCAGCAGCTGTGTTGATGTGGGTGGGTGGGTGGGGTTTCAATGTCCCACAAACAAGCAAACAAACAAAAGGTTAACTCCTGAGACAGCCTGGGGCCAGACATGCTGAGGATGGACAGACTACAGGGCCTGGTGGGGTGGCAGGGCCAGGCCTACTCCCTCCCACACTGGCTGCTGGGCAAATGAGTGAACAAGCGGGAGGGATCCCTAGATAGCCCCAAGGGCCTGGTATTGGGGCAGTGTGGAGACAGTGGAGAGAGTGTCCCAGAGTACGGAAAAGCATTCCAGCTTCAACACATCCCTGAGTAGATTGCCCCACTCCTGGTGAGGAGCTGAGGTTCAAGCTCTAACCTCCCTTTTTCTTCAAGTTAAGAATAAAGGAAGGTGTGATTTCTCTCTGTGTTGCAGTGATCAGGGTCGCAGGCCCCTTTCTCCTCTCCAGGAGAACTGAGGTGCTTACATCAGGAACCAGCGTGGAAGAGCAAGCCAGGCTGGAGACCATTCACCTTCCTGTGGCAGGGGTCGTGAGGGAGGGGGAAATGCAGCTGGCGCCCTCTGGTGGGCGACGTTGAAATCACGTGTGGCCGTGCGGCTCCCCACGCCGCGTCGCCGGGGGCTAGGTGACTGATCGGGGCTGCCTAGGCTTAGGCAGAAAGCGAGGAGTAAGTCACTGAGGCTGACTTCATTCGTTCTTCGACTGATTCGCTAGAAGAGTTCCTGTTAGAGCCCTTCCCATCCTCCTGTCGCCTATAACCTCCAGAGTCCTCGGTATGTGCTCGGTTGGGGACTCCAACTCGGGAGACTGGCTGAGTGCAGAGAAGCCATCTCTGGGGGAAGCCTCCCCAATCAACCCATCTACCCCCCTGCGCGTGGCCCCGCCCGGATATTTACCGCCCGTGAAGCCGCTGAGTGCTCTCTGTAATCTTTGTTCCCTGGGTGGGTCTCCCTGCAGCCCAGACCCGCTCCTAGCACGCTCCTGCCCACAGTCGGGACCCAGTCCACACCTTCCCCTTCCTTCCAGGAGTTTCCTGGCCCGAAGGGGAGCCCCGCGGACTGAGTTGGGGACTGTTTTTTTCCTTCCCCGCCCCCGCCTCTCCTCGATGCCCCTTCTGCCAGCTCAGCGCCCAGTAGGAGTACTGCCAATTCAATTTGGCCTCGGAGCGCCGAGGGATGAAGGTGTAAACCGTGGTTTGCAGACCACTGGAAGACGGACAGCCTTGTATTTGGGGTGCGAGGGAGACGACTCCCAGGCTAGACGCGAAGTGCTTAACCCAGTCTTGGCGATTTGCATTTGAACAGTCGGTGGAGAGTCCGCGGCGCTTTGAACGCCGGGCGCAGGAGGCGCGAGTAGGAATGAGCTTCAATCCAGGCAGCCCGCGCCGGCTGGTGTGGATTTGAGGGGCCCAGGGTGGGCCGGGGGCGAGGGATGCGTTTGGAAGGAGGCTGAAGGTGTGTGTTTGGGTCCCCGCTAGGGAGTGTTTGCGGAGAGGGGCTGTTTGTGTTGGCAAGGAGTGTGTGTTTGTGTTTGCAGGAGGCGAGGGTGTGTGTGTGTGTGTGTGTGTGTGTGTGTGTGTGTGTTTGTGTTTGCGGAGTGTGGGGGCGGCCAGGAAAGGTGGCCGGGCTGTCACTCAGCGATCAGGTTGACAGGCGCTCCCTCATCAGGTCCAGGGAGCTCTGATTGCAGATTCGAGGAAACAAAATAGCAATTGTAATTACGGGGCTTTGATAAGATAAAGGAAGGAGCGAGCTGGCCGGGAAGCGAGCAAGCAGTGAGGAAGGGACACAGCGGCCTGCTGGGGCCCCGACAGAATATTTGCATCTGTCACTCACAGGGCTGATGGGACAGTACCTGGCGCCCTATGTGAGGGTGTCCCCATCTGCTCCCCTCCCCACCCCCACCTCAAGCCATAGACTTTTGGAGAGAGGAACTCTCCCAAATTGATGAATATTCAGTTTGGGGGAAAGTTCTCCAAAAGCAAAGGAATTCTTTCCTGTAGAGAGGCCCCTTGATAGAGGCTAAAGTGTACTAAAACCTTGACCTCCACACTTTAAGGTGCCTGGATGCCCATCTCCTCTGGGGGTGGGAGGAGGGTGGCCTATGATCATTGAGGCTCAGCTCAAGGCCTTCAGAACCTTCTGGGAGCTCCGGAACCAGAGTTGGACCCCTAGTCAGATGCCTTGGCCTCCACCCTCCCTCCAGAGAAGGGCAGGTCCCCAGAGTGAGTCTGGTTGTGGCTCCAGGTCTATGCACACTAAGAGTGGGCTGGACTGTCATGCCCCCTGTCTGAGTGCTGCTTCATGCTGTTCTCATCAGACTTTTCAGAGGGCCTGGTCTCGGGTAGGGAGAAGGCCCATCCCACCCTCTGCTCTCCATCTCTCCATTGACTCAATCACACACACACACACACACACACACACACACACACACACACACACTTTCAGGGGCCTACAGTGTGCAGGGCATGAAGGTAAAATGGTGAGCATACTGCCGGTTTGAAGCAATACACTTGGGGAGGTAGACACTCAGCAAGTGGCCTGCAGGCCCCTAAAAGGAGCATCGTGAGGAAAAGGGCTGGTGTGGGCTGTGGCCAATGGAGCCCACCTCACCTGTCTCCCTTGTGATGGGTTCACCTCTTAGTTGAGAGGAAACAGTGCAAGTCCAGCCTTTAGCAGATACAAGTGCTCAATAAATAGTGGTGATTATAATCTGTTGGTAGGGGGGTAGTAGGGAGAGAAAAAGCAAGCCTTCCCGAGGAAGCCACTCATGGTCTGAGGTCTAAATGCTCAGCCAGTTTCTTCGTTATTCATTCATCAAATACCAACTGCGGAACAACCCTGGCCAGCTCCGTGCCATGAGCTGCAAGTTCTGGTCTAAAAGACAGCCCTTGCCCAGAGGTCTGTGTGTGCAAGAACCAGCAGTGAACAGACTCCTGGAGGTGGGTAACACGTAGGCTCAAGGGGTCTCCTTCTTGGAGGGAGGATGAGGTCTTGGGACAAGCACTCTGACTCTGCTTTCCCATCTATGGATTGCTCAGGGTTAGCATGATGGCTGGGAGTGCGAAAGGGTGGGGCACAGGGACAGGTGGGGCGCAGAGAAAAGGGAGGGAGGTAGACCTTGGCTGTGCTGCATCCTGCTTCTGGCCTAATGGCTTCCAGGACCACCCCAACCCCTCCAGTCCAAACCCCAAGGACATAAGGTGGGGGCGGTGGGGAAGGGGAGGTCATAGGTGGAGTCAGCAGCTGCGCAGGGCATCAGTGGTCCCACCTGCTTCTCAGAAATATCTGTCCCAGGGCAGCTCTGCCCACCCAAGCTGCTCCCAAGGAAGCGCCATGGCTCAGGGGTTCCAGAAGCCCCTTGGGGGAAGCAATGAGGGGCTGGGAGAAGCTTAGACAAGTCCCTACCTCCTTTGGTTTCTCCTTTCTCGGCAGGCCCCCCTCACAATTGACAACAAGCACGAGTCCATGTCTAGCACACAGTAGGTGTGTAGATGCCTAAGTGCTTAAGTAATGAGACCCTGAGAGGGAAAGACTAGGCGGCCTGGATTCAAGTCTCTTCCGCAGGAAAAGCAGGGGACAGAGTTATTTTTGCCCCCTCCTCCTGCTGCTCTGGGAGAGCGGCAGCCACGAATGGGTCCTTCCAGGGATCTCTGGGCTCTTTTCCCACGTAGGTGGCTACTTCAGGCTAGTGTACGTGGGACTGAGGCAGGGGTGATGGTGATAATAAGGGAGGGACATTTCTCGCTCTCAGGGTCTTCTTGGAGACCGGCGCGACAGGAGAGACCAGACACTGGTAGGAAGGGTTACTCAGCAGGAAGGTGGTGGGGTCGGGTCGCCGTCGCACACGCACTCACTGCCCGAAGGCCGAGCGCACAGCCATTCACTCCCGCTTCAGCGGCCACTTCCAGGGGGCACACGTGGTCGAAGCACACAGTAGGTGGCTCGGAGACCTGCTGTCTAGCCTGAGGCGTGAGCCGACCGGGCCCCACCGTGGAGACCCGGCACCTTCCGACCCCGGCGGCACCCCGCGGTCCGGGGAGCCCCAGCCCGAGGCGCCCCCATCCCCACGGGTCCAGACCCCTAGAGCGCGCGAGGGGTCAGGCCGGGGATGGGGGGAGGCGCCCCCCGCCGGCCGCCCCCGCCCCTCCCGCGGTCCCCAGACCCCTCCCCTAGCTCAGACCCCCAATCCCAGACCCGCCGGCCGCCCCGCCCCGGTCCGCCCCGCCCCCGCCCCGGGCTGCGTCCGGGCCCCAGCTCCCAGCCGGGGGCTGCGGGCTTCGGCCGCCCGCCCCGCGCTCCCCCCTCGCGCCCGGTGCGGCGCCCCCCGCCCCCACCCCTCCCCCTCCCTTCCCACCTACCCACCCACCCTGCCGGCCCGTTACCCTCCCGCCCGCTCCGGCTCCTGAGCAGCCAGCGGCCACCGGCTCCGGCAGCGGCGGCAGAGCGACTCGGCGCGGCGCGGCGTGGCGCGGCGAGCTCGACATTCCACGGGACCCGCGGAGCCGCGTCCGGACCGCCGCCCGCCTCCCGCGCCCCAGCCTTCGTCGGCCGCCGCCGCCCTCTGCTCGTCCCTCGCGGCCGCCCGCGGGCCGGCGTGATCCCGCCGGGGCTCTTGGTGCTCCCCGGGCCGCGCGCCATGGGCAGCCCCCGCTCGGCGCTGAGCTGCCTGTGAGTACGGCCGCCGCCCCCTCGTCCCCGCCGGGCCCGCGCCGCCGCGCCCTCTCCGCTCACCCCGCGCCCTCTCTCTCTCCCACCCGCTTTTGTCTCCCACAGGCTGTTGCACTTGCTGGTTCTCTGCCTCCAAGCCCAGGTAAGGCGCACTGCGCGGCGGCGGGGCCCGGGCGGGCCGGCGGGGGCAGCCGGTTGGCAAGGTCGGGCAGGGGCCCGAGGACCAAGCCTGCGGCCAGCGCGGCCGGGCTGGAAGAAACCCTCGAAATCCAGCCCCGAACTTCCCCGAGGAGGGAGCTAGGGAACAGAGAGGGAGCGCCCTGCCTAAGGTCACACAGCTAGTGTGCAGCGAGGCTCGAACGCAAGGTTTCGCAGTCCAGCGCTTTTCTCCCGTGCATTCTAGCCAGGTTGGGGTGGGTGGGGAGCTCTAGGGCCAGCCACACCTGGCTGCCGAGGAAGGGGGGAGCTGGGGCCCGGGAGCGTTCGTTGTCACAAGTGCCGGTGACTGCCGCAGGGACTCTTCCGCGGCTCTCGGGGGACACTTGCGGCGGGTCTGGCCGAAAGATCAGGTGCCTAGGCTCTCTGCGCTCTCAACATTTGCTCCGTAAATTTGTCTTTATAAATGTCAGGGGTCGGGCAGCGCTGCCTCCCTACTTACAAGCGCCCTGCTTTTCTAGGAAGGCGGGGGGGGGGGGGGGCGGGGGGGGGGGGGTTGCGCTGGGCAGGGAGCTTGCCTCCCTGTGCGGAGCTGGCCGGGAGTCCCGGGGTGTGTCCCGACAGGTAGGTCCGGATCGTTCCGGGCTGTCCATGTTAGGCTGAGGCTGCCCGATTTTCTTTGGTGGGGTGTTGTGGCCTGAGCTGGCATGTTGGGGGGAATCCTCCAGCCCCTGCCGGCTGCCTGGGGCAGTGGAGGGGTATGCAGGGCGATGGGGGCCACTCGGGCCCCTGGGCAGAGTAGCATTATAATGGCGTGTTGTGTATTTTTCAATTTCCTAAAGGTAACTGTTCAGTCCTCACCTAATTTTACACAGCATGTGAGGGAGCAGAGCCTGGTGACGGATCAGCTCAGCCGCCGCCTTATCCGGACCTACCAGCTCTACAGCCGCACCAGCGGGAAGCACGTGCAAGTCCTGGCCAACAAGCGCATCAACGCCATGGCGGAGGACGGGGACCCCTTCGGTAAGGCGAATGGCACTGGGCAGGGTAAAGGTAGCTTGTAGAACATGCCTCCCCTTTCCCTGGCTGGCCTGCTCTGACTGGACCTGCCAGCCCCGTCTGCACCGGCAGGAGGCTTGCAGGCTTCCCAGCTCAGAAGGGAAGGAGTTAAGGCAAAAAAGCATCTTAGGGGTCAGCTGGAGAAAAGAGGGCTAGCGAAGGCACCTCGGGGAGTACTCGGCCCACAGGTGCCCCTTCCCTGCCCAGCAGATGAATGAATCCAGGAGTCTCCCGTTCCACCTCCCCCATTCACACACCCCTCCCCAGCTGCAGGTGGAGGCAGAGGGTTCAGCGGGAGGGGGGGGGGGGGCTCAGGTTTAAGGGAAGCTCTTGAAAGAGGATATGTCGCCAGGGCCCACAAAAGGAGAGAGTTGGGAAAGAGAAGGGAGAAAAATCCCCCCGACTCTTACAACCTGGAGGGCGTATGTCGTGCAGCTTTAAATATTTTGATCGGAAGGGCCAAGGGCACATGGGGAGTAGTCTTGGGAAGGGGCCCTCTTCTATTCCCCTGACCCAGGAACCCAGGTGGTGGTCAGAGCTGGGCTCCTGGCCGTCCGTCCGTGGGGTGGTGAGTCTAGGGAGCTACTGCGGGTCAGAGAGACTGAGGACTGATTGATTTCTAAAACATTCAATATTCCTGCCTTGAAACAAGGCCAATTTCCAGAGTCCTGGATGTACCAAGAGAAAAGCAAGCCCTCTGGGCGGCTGGTGTTGTTTTTAGAGAGCGATTATTGTGAGTTTAAAAACCTTTAAATAATGACCAAGTTAAACAAGCATGAAAGGAGAGGGGAAGACTCTATTAAAATGTAATAAAAAGGTGAGGCATTTTAAGAGCTAAGAAGAAAAATGAAGAATGATATAAAACAGAAAAGAACGAGCCTTTTTTCAGATGTGGAGTTTGAAAGGACTTGCAAGTCTGTAAATGTTAAAAAAGAGGTTCAAGATTGTTCTCTATGAATCTCTGGAGAGACCCCCGCGTCTGGCAGAGCGATTAAAACTCTTCTTACTTTCACCTTTTTTAACATTTCCTGAATACTTTCTCCTCTTCTCGAGCCAGTTTGGGGGATCGAGTATGTCTCACTGCATTTTTTCTGCATCGACGTAGCTGACTTCCCTTCAAAGCTGGAGAAGGAGACATAATTTTCCCGGGATAAATCTGTCACTGGGGTGGAAGAATAGGTTTGAAAATGTTAAGCTTTCCAAAAGCCCAGTTGGTCGGGAAAGCCGCTGTAAACTTGCAGCCCCAGCTCCCCACATCCATCGAGGAAGGAGAGTGGGGGCTCTCCATGGTGGGGGTGGGGGGCCGAGCTCCCCCGCTGGGCTGGCAGGGCCAGCCTGCCGTCCCTTTGTCCCTCTGTCCCTCCAAACTGGCTGCTTGCTTCTCTCAGCTTCCAAGGAAAGGGAACGAGTGCCTAGGTCCTCCTGGGGTTGCTCCACTGGAGCAAATGGTCCCTCATCCTTGGGTTTTGGGGAGGGAAGAGGCTAAGCTGGCCAATGGCAAACTCCTCTTCAGACCTCAGGAGTCTCATGCCCACTTCTGTCCTTACAAGTGTAGGAAGCTTTCCAGGTCCCTCGGACCCTGCCTGCCAGGCAGGGGTGGGAGCTGGAGGGCCCAAGGGCAGAGGCTTAGGGTGGACAGCCAGGGTGGTATGAGACTGGGGGAGGAGAGCAGAGGGGTCCTAGCTGCTTCCTTTTTATGGGTCCCAGGAAGGAGCCAAGGGATTGTTCCATCCCTGGCTGTCCCATTTGGCCAGAATCATCTTGCCCCTTTGCCAGCCAGTGTCCTTCCTGGCCCTTAACAGCAGCCACTCCTTGCTCTGGAAGGCAGACCAGGAGAGGGATGAGCAGACTGGCTGGGCCCACGAGGAGGTGGGTGGGAGGAGAGGTGACAGCTGCATTTCCCTGGCTGACTTGGAGCCAGACTGGGGAGTTGGCCACTGGGTCCCAGCTCTGTGTTTCTGTGAAGGGGTGGGGTAGTCACAGGCTGGGCAGGGAGGGCTTTGAGACCTTTAGTCAGCTTAGTTTCGGGGACAAAGAAGGTGCTGCCTTGTTAGGACAGGCTGGGAGGCAGCTCTGGGAGTCCCAGAGGAAAAGTCTGGAGGAAAAGTCTGGGCTCTGCAGTAGAGAGGATAGGAGACCCAGCCTTTTCTGTCCTATCTCTAGCGGCTAAGTCAGCCCTCATTCCCTTCTTGGGGACAGCCTCCAAGGGAGGAGTTACGCAAAGAGTAGACAGGGACCAGGACTTCTGTGGCCCTTTGGCCGTCTAAGGGGAGGGGGCAGGGGAAGAGGGCACAGAATTCAGCTCCCCGTCTCAGAGCTTTCCCGACTGAGAGGCAAGCATGCCTGCTTTTCTCCCCTCCTCACCCACAGTAAGTGTTTGGTCACTGGGGTGAGAAGCCCAGCTGTGATGGAGGTTGAAAGAGAAAAGACTATTTGAGTCATTGATTTCTGGACACTGGGGCTGGGGACAGTGGTGACTGGGAAGCGTGGAGAAGACCAGAGTCCCCCCAGCTGGAGTCTGAGGTTCTGGGAAAGCAGCTGCCTATGTATGGGCTGTGAGTGGAGGGAGAGTGGTCATCTTCTTAGCAGAGCAGGGGTGGGGGTGAAGGGGCCGTGAAGGCTGTGAGTTAGAACCCAAAGGGCCAGAAACAGGAGGGATGCTTTAATGTTTGGCCTCCCAGCTGATGTCACTGTTGCACCCCAGAAGTTTGTAGTGATCTGTGCGGCACGGACACACAATATTTTGACTTTGAAGGACTCCCAGAGACCTTTGATTAGAGTAGAGCTCTAGTCATGAAGCATTGACGTAAGTCAATACTATCTGGTTTTAAAGGGAGGGGGGGTCTTTTCAGTTCGGTGGCCCCAGGATCCCCCTGCAGAACTGTTTGTACTCCATGATCTTGTCCATCCCCCTGTGTAAATCCAAGTGAGGGGCCTGAGGCCCAGAAAGGAGACTTGATCTTTCCCAATGTTGCACGGTGTATGGGCAGCCGGGCTGGGGCCAGAGCCCACATTTTGGGTACCCGCTCTTGGACCAGTTGCTGCTGGGATGTGGCAGGGCTGGGGGTCAGCTGGGGTAATTATGTGGTAGAGTGGGGGGGGTAGGGAGCTTCCAATAACCATCCGCCCACCTTTTCTGACAGCAAAGCTCATTGTGGAGACAGATACCTTTGGCAGCCGGGTTCGAGTCCGAGGAGCCGAGACAGGCCTCTACATCTGCATGAATAAGAAGGGGAAGCTGATTGCCAAGGTGAGGCTCCAGAAGGAAGGGAGGGCCCCTAGGGCCTGGGGGTAGCCGGGCTGGCAGAGCCAAATCCCAGCAAGGTGGGCAGAGAGTCACAGGGCCACCTTGGGGTTACCTAATGATTGGGTGGGGGAGGGGGAGGTGAGAGAGAAGGAAACTGCTTTCGAGATGAAAAGCTATAAAGGCAAAGGAGGAAGAAGGAAGGGTAGGGTAGGGGCTGGGGGGGTTGGTAAATTCCATATATCTTTTTAACAAATCGCCAAATTGCTTTGCTATTATGTCCAATTACATGGTACCAGCATTTGGAATGTTCAGTAAGCCGCAGGCCCAGCCCCTCGGCCGATCTCTGAAATGGCCCCATTAGTCACGGCTCTTCTCCAGCCTCGAGTTCCCCGCTTCCTGGGCTTCTGGGGCTTGGGGCTCCGTGTCTTCTCCCCACAGGTTTCCCCTCCCCCATGGGGTGGCTGCCCTGGGGCCTCTGGGGTCCTTAGGGGCCGAGGCCGGGTGCGGGGGTGGGGGGCAGCTGGGGAAACTGGTGCGAGCAGCTTGGCCAGACTGGTGGGCAGGAGGCCAGGGCAGGCAGGGTCTGGGCCCCCTCTCTGCCCCTCTGTGTTGGGGCCCAGCCCCTCCGGAGACAACCATGTGTCACTGCTGCCCAGGAGGACAGGAAGTTGCCGGGTGGGCTGCGGCTTGTGAGGGATTAGAGAGCGGGTGCCCGGGCGGGGGTGGGGCTGCAGCTCGTGCCACCCTGCCATCTGCTGGGGTGCCCACCTGCTGTCTGGGGCCGCCTGCCCTCTGCCTCTGCTGGGGGGGATGGGGGCGGCTCCGGCCAGAGCCCAGTAACACCGCGTCTGCTCTCCCCCCCCCCCCCCCCCCCCCCCCCCCCCCCCCCCCCCCCCCCCCCCCCCCCCGCAGAGCAACGGCAAGGGCAAGGATTGTGTCTTCACGGAGATAGTGCTGGAGAACAACTACACGGCCCTGCAGAACGCCAAGTACGAAGGCTGGTACATGGCCTTCACCCGCAAGGGCCGGCCCCGCAAGGGCTCCAAGACGCGGCAGCACCAGCGCGAGGTTCACTTCATGAAGCGGCTGCCGCGCGGCCACCACACCACGGAGCAGAGCCTGCGCTTCGAGTTCCTCAACTACCCTCCGTTCACGCGCAGCCTGCGCGGCAGCCAGAGGACTTGGGCCCCGGAGCCCCGGTAGGCGCCGCCGGCCCCTCCCCGCCGCCACGGAGCTGCTCAGCGCGGGGGAGCACGGGAAGCTCCAGCGGGCCCAGGTCTGCGCCGCTGAAGGCTGGGGAGGAGCTGGGGGGCCCGGGTTCTAGCTGTTGATACTTGTTTGCTCTTGGGTTTTTTTGTTGTTTTGTTTTGTTTTTTAAACAAAAGAGAGGCTCTATTTTTGTATTCCACTTGGCTGTGGTGTCTGTGTTCTTAACTTTCAGGAAGGCCCTCAGGGGGGCCGAGACTGGGATTCTGGCCGGGGGGGGGGGGGGTCACCCAGAGGGGGGGGGGGGGCTTTTCTAGCCCAACAGAGGTGCTCCCGAACCCCAGCACTTGCAGGGCAAGCTGGCCAGGCTGTCGGTGACTCCACCTCACCCCTTAGGTGGGGGCAGGGAGGAAAGGGTGGGGACTTAGGGCAGGTCTTTTAAGAGTGGGTGTCAGTGGGGGTGCGGGGGTGGATGTGTATTAGTTATTAAATGACTGAAATATTTATTTAACTTGTTTTGTATTAAAAATGTGTGTTGGAGGGGAAGTCCTGCCAGGGGTCAGCCCCCAGCTCCTCCGCCAGCTGCCCTGGCAGATGAGTGATGCGGCCAATCAGGCCCCAGTTCTGACTCTAGCCTCCTTCCAGCCTGACTTAAGTCCCGTGCCTGTGTCATTGTTACAGAGGTGCTCTCCAGATAGGACAGAAGCAGGGAAAGGGGCAAGAAGTGGCACTTGCTTAGCTGGTCCTGGGAGCTCTCATACACGGACCTCCTACCTCTTAAGAGGAGTAACTGCCCGTCACTTCCCCAGTCACCTCTGGGGCCGAAATGATGGCTCTGCTAGGATCGGAGCTGCGTTCATGGATTCAGCGAGTTGTTAAAAAGGGCCTCTCTGTGTGCGCCTAGGGCTGTGTGGGAGACAAGTTGGAGGTGCCAGGGCTGGCTCTTTCTGAGTATCCGGCTCCAGAGAATGAAAGAAAAGAGTAGCTGCCAGGGTGCAAGGTGGAGGGCATGTTGGAGGGGAGACGGCCAAGATTGGTGTCGACAGTTGCGACGTGGAGCAAGGATTGACTTTTGAGGATTCTGGTTAGAGAGCTGAGAAGAGACAGTGCTGAAACTCAGGTGCTGCCAAAGGGCCCAGAGACCATGGTCCTGGGAGAAGCTGCTGACCCTGGAGAGATGGGGCCTAGGGGGAGAGGAACTGGGCCGGGGACCAGAGGGGAAACGTGTGCGGGGAGAGTAGGACTCAGACTCTGGCCTGGAGGAGAAGCAGCAGGTCATTGGTCAGGAGGGAAGACGGCTTTGGACGGAAGAGGACCAGGCAGGGCTGCGGCAGTGGCAGAGCAGGTCAGGGTGTGGGCACGGGGGCTGGCCTGTGATGGGCGGAGAGGGGTGTGTGGGTATGGACTTGTGAGACGGGCATCACACCACATGGAGGGAGAGTCCAAGCCCAGAGATGGCAGGTCTCCTGAGGCCAGAGCTCGCCCAGTCTTCATAACTGATGCCTTCCATTCTGGCTGTTTCTGCTGCCTTCTTTGACAGTGCCCCTGGGCTGCCCACGGTCCAGTCATTGGGCCAATCCAGAATCCTCTTCCCTCTGGGCCTCTGTTCTTTGGCACTTCTGTTGGGTGGGGGGCACCCCAAGGCTTCCTAACCACGTGGGCCTCTCAGAGTTGAAGCTGCAAGCTCCAGGGTCAGGCCATCCAGGTGGACCAGGCGTTCCAGGGCTGAATGGCAAGCCTTGGGGTGGAGAGGTTGGGGACACCCTGGGCTCTGTCCATGCCACCTTGTCTGGCTTGCTATGGGGGTGAGAGGCTCTGGATAGAGTCGGTGTCTTCTGGTGCATAGACACTGGGGATGTGGGGAGGGGCTCTAGACATCTCTCTTCCTGCTCCCCCAGCTCTTAGTGCCTCCTCCTCTGCTCCATCCCCTCCCCTCCCCCTTTAATTAATTCTGGGTGAGCAGCCTGGCTTTATTGTGCAAGGAACTAGGGTCTCACTGTGGGAAAAGTCACACCTTCTGAGCAGCTTCTGATGCCATGCAAATGAAGAGACCGTCCAGGAAACGCTTTCATCTGCACGGCCGCCTGTCCAGCCCCCAGCCCAGTAATTGCCCACATTTCATTTGTTTGAGAGCAATTCCTGGGGGAAGCCATAGGGTAGGAGGGAGTCTGGGGTGGGGGTGGGATGTCAGGCTCTCCCGGCCAGTGATCCTGGCTAGAGTGGGGCCAGGCTGGGCCCAGGCTGGTCACTGGCTAGGCCAAAGCCACTCGTGAAGCCCCCAGGCTGGGGATGCCGAGCTCTCCAGGATGGTGGAGTGGAAGCGTGCCATGGTTGCTGAGAGGGAGAAGAGGTGGGCTGTCCAGAGAGCCACACCTGCCTTACAGAGAGTTGAGAGATGACTGGGGTGGGGGGGTGGAGTGTACAGGTGGACAGGAGGTGGGGATATGCTCCTTGAGGCTTCCGGGACCTTTGGGAAGGGGTTGACTTCCAGCAGGAGCCCAGGCCAAGGACCCATGGGAGTGGAGCCCAGAGTGGTGGGGCTAGGCTGGGCTGGAGCACCCACTACCTTGTTTATCTTTGCCTTGCTGCCTCCACAGAGCCCTCGCTAATGGGGTTTTACAGCCCACTCAAGCTGCAACTGGCCAAGAATCAATCATTACCGGCACTTAGTGGTTTGATAGTTAACAGCCTGAACTGAAGCCAAACTGGTTGTTAACTGTGATAACAACTGATTTCAAGGGGTTATTGCCGGCCCAATATGCTCAGTCCATTTATTTCGGGGAAAACAAGCAGGGAGCTGTTGCAGGGCCCAGAAAAGGGAGAAGGACTGGGCTCTTCTTGGCCAAAAGGTCTGCCGCTGTCTTAGAATGGGTGCTGGCTGTGAAGGCCCTGGGGCCTGCCTGAGGTCTGCACGGGGCTTGACCTCCCAGAACTCCCTCAGGACCTGTGTGCAGGCCCAGGTGACCCACACGCAAGACCCTTCCCTATCCTCCCTTCTCCTCAGTTCTTACCTCATCCCGATCCCTCCTCTCCTGTTTTTATAGCAGTACTATCCACGAGACCCTCATGGGGACTAGGCAAGCCTAGTGGCCAGGCCTCCACTTGTCCCCAGCCAGCAGGTGGGGCTGGACCCGCTCACCCACTCCTCTCTCACCAGAGCCTCCCAGAACCCTGCCAACTCCAAACCAGAACCTTGTCTTTCGTTTCAAGGCCAGCAAAGACTCCTCCCAAGCCTGGATGAGAAAGTGTGAGTGAAGGCTCTCTCCTCTGGGCTCTGTCCAACCCTACCTTCTCCCTCAGCCTGAAGGCAGAAGGTGAGGCTGTGGCCAAGCATCATTCTGGAATGTTGCCGCTGCTAAGGACCTCAGGAGTTCCCCCATCATCTGTAGACAGACACCATAGGGCCTGGAAGCCAATCAAAGCTAGTACTAGAAACCAGGTGTCAATTTCCAGATCCAGGCTGTCTCTTGAGGATCTTAGGTCTTCCCCTAATGCCATTCATTCATTTGATATTTATTCAGTGCCTGTTGTGGGCCAGGCTCCATTGTGGGTAGAGGGACAAGCAGGAAAGGAGACAAAAGCCCTGTCCTTATGGAGCCCATATTCCAGCGGGGTGGGGGTACAGAGCAAACAGTATGTAGTATAGCAGACACTGAGAGCCATACAGGGAAAAACGCAGAGAAGGAAATGAGTGTGAAAGGTAGGGTAAGGGAGTAGCAATTTTAAACAGGGTGCCCAGAGAAGGCCTCATTCAAATCTTGATGTTTGAGCAGACACCTGACCAAGGTAAGGCATACAGGCTTTGGGGAGGGGCCGTCTGGGTGGAGGGGAGAGCAAGTGCAAATATTTCCGCATTAGGGGAGGAAGAAGGAGCAAAGTAGGGTGTGTGTGGTGGGGAGAAAGCTGGAAGCTGAGGGGTGGTAGTGGAGAGCTGATCACATGGGGCCATTAAAAAGACTTTAGTTTTGATTCTGAATGAGACAGCAGACCATTGCGGGGGATGCAGGGGTGGTTTTAGCAGTAGAGTGACATGCTCTGAATGAAGTTTTAACATTGGCCGCTGTGTAGAGGACAGATACCTCGGGGGCAAGGGAGACCAGTTATGAAGATACTGCAGTAATTTCGGTGAGAGATGACAGCGGATTGGAGGCAGTGAGAAGGGACTTGGATTTGGGGCAGTTTTTGCAAGTGGGGATGACAAGATTTGCTGATGGATTTGAACGTGGGCTGTGAGAGAGATAGGTCGAGGGATTTCCAGGGTTCCTGGCCTGAATCACTGAAAGGATGGAGGGGCCATTTGCTGATGCAGAGAAGATTCCAGAAGGGGCAGATTTAGTTTAGTTTTGGATATGTTACATCTCGGCTGACTGATATGCGAGTGGAGATACGGCGTAGGCAGTTCGTCTGAGTCTGGAGGTCTGGAGAGAGGTCTAGTGTGAAGATACAAGTTTGGGAGTATTGGGCATACAGGTGTTTTTAAAAGCAGGAGATGGAATGGGTTCCCCCCGGAGTGAGCATAGCTAGAGAAGAGAGGAGCCCCAAGCCTGACCCCGGCACATTCCAAACACGGAGAGGTCAGGGGGCGGGGGGAGCCGGTGGAGGAGATTGAGAATGTGTGGCCCGTGAGGTTGGTGGGAAGAAAACCAAGACAGCGTGGTGCCCTGATGATGTAGCACAATGACAGTGTTCGGCCCGAAGCTTTAAGCGCCCTGCCCCCAGGGCCGGAGGGAGTAGCCAACAAATGGGTGGGTTTCACCTGGGAGTCTCCGGGGCTCTTCTTTCCGCCTCCCCTGGCCTCTCATCGTGCTTCCTTCACCTCCGGAACCTAACTCCACTGCAGTCTGCCTACACTTCAACTTCTCCACCCCAACACCCTGCTCCCAGCCGTCATCGGCTCTTGTCTGGCTTCTGGAGACAGCCCCTAACTGCTCTCCCTGGTCCTTCTCGTACCCCTGACAATGCTTTCTGTGCTCAGCAGCCAGAATTTCCAAAACACA